GCGGTCAGGAGTTCGAGACCAGCCTAGCCAATATGGTGAAATCCCATCTCTACTAAAAATACAAAAATTAGCTGGGCGTGGTGGTGCATGCCTGCAATCCCAGCTACTCGGGAGGTTGAGGCAAGAGAATTGCTTGAACCCAGGAGATGGAGGTTGCAATGAGCCAATATGGCGTCACTGCACTCCATCCTGAGCAACACAGCGATACTCCATCTCGAAGAAAAGAAAAGAATATTGGATGGTATACTTTCTGAGTCTAATATGTACTACTATGGAACTTAAAACTAATGATGACTAATTTTGATACTTATCATCCTACGAAGATAAAGTTTCAAGTGAAGTGGTCACACAGTGATCAACCCAAGTGTGGGTTCAGGGAAGGGAGCACAGAGTGATCAAGGCTGGCATTTCTGGCTCTTCTTTCTAGAAATGGTATTGCCTAGGAAGAGAGGAAGAGAGTGTGGGAAATGTAAGGGGAGGTACAGGTCTGAGAGATCCTTTTCACAAAGACTGGTTCCCTTCACTGGTTTCCAGTGAAAAAAGAGAGAAGATTCCATTATTTTTGTGGGCACTTATAAAGCGCTTTGTTTTTACAATTTCTTTCCCAATCTGCAGAAAGCCTGCCATGTCCTTTTTAGGCTGAGAAGGGTACTGGGCAAAGGGTGACAAGCCCTGATTTCCTTGAGTCTAGGAAGAGTTCAGCCAGAACCTCCATATAGGCAATCTACTGCTGCTACTGCTTGAAAGTAAGTTAACCACTTATGATGTTTATGATTTAGGGTTTTTTTTTTTTTTTTTTTTTTTTTTTCCAAAAAAGCAGATATATTGAAATTTGTAACCAAAACACAAATAGAGTGCATACAAATTATGACAATAAAAATCATTTTCACCTTTTTTCTAAAACAATAAATTAGAAAATAGTTTGAATCTATGAAATGTTAAAAAGGGATCAAAAAACAATATTGAAATATTTATAGAAAGAAACTAATCAGGCTGTGTATAACAGGGGAGAAAGGTGAATAAAGAAAATGTAGTCATCTGGTCAGCAGTTGTCATTCTGACCAGAAAGGCTGCCAAAGATCCCAGGAAGGCTACTAAAAGACACAAGTAGGACACAAATCCTGCACTCTGTTTATTGTACCTTGTAACCAAAGGATCCTAGAATAAGTGTGGCCTTGAAAATGGGTTTCATAATTTATATGTAATGAGATTGAGAACAAATTGCTTTAGTTTATTTCAGAATGGAAATAGGGACATATTTTTAAAAGAATGGTAGTACAGTTTAGATGCTTTTTAAAATGTTGTTTCGAACAATTATGTGTTTGCCATTCTTCTTAAAACTGGGAGGATGTACCTCTTATGACTGATTTCCATTAACTCCCTCTACTTTTTCTCCCAGATTAAGTTTTGATGATGAGCTCTGATTCAGTAGATGAAATCTCAAATGTATCTTACAATGTAAAATGTATCATAAAAGGTAAAATGTACCTTAAAATGTAAAAGCATCTTAAAATGCAAACCAAGAGAAATGGTTACATTAAATCATATTGAGTGGTCTTGCATATTTAAGATTTAAGAATGTGTAGAACTCTTAAATAAGCATTGAGTGGGACACAGTCCTCTGATGGGTAACATTAACGGTGATTCTTCTCTAACTATAGACTAAGGCATACCAATCATTCCTACGTTCTTGAATAACAATGAAATGCAGATCTCAATTAATCTTTGTTATACATTAGGCGCAAAAACAAATGTACAGGAACAGCAACTAGGTTGGCTTTATCTATCATGCAAAAGGAAAACTATTTAACACTGTCAGCACTTTTTACAACAGTGGCTACTGAGCAGACTTAATTACCAAAATGCCTGCACAAGGCCAGTTACATCAGCATGTCTGGGTCTAATCAGATTCTCTTTTCTGGTATCCATGGAATCAAACATGCTTTGCTAATATTGGCAGATCCTTGTTTAGTGAAGGTACTTTTGGCAAAATGATGCAAGGCTGCAGTTTGTATGTGATCTGTTGGTCTTTAACAATGCAGCTCTTGATGGAATTGGATTATTTTAACCATATATGGTACCAACAGTATACATATACTTTAAGCTCAATTGAGCCATTCCTGTCTGAAATAGCACCTAATCTTTCTTAACCCATCTTTGTCTTATTGTGTTTTGCAGAAATTATATATAATAATTTTATGATAAAACATAGTACTTCTTTTTTGTCTGCTTCCTCCAAGAGGATGTAAGCTCGATGAGGGCAAGGTCTTTGTCTTATTGTCTCCATCTGCAGTACCCGTAACTATCCTGAAATTCAGTAGATGTTCTAAAAGTCCTCACTGAATGAAGAAACCTATATAGGTTTGTCAAAATGAGTGGCCGACAGAAGTTTTCAACAGGGTCTATCCACTGTAATTTTACTGTAACTTTATCCTAGATAAGAACAAGTTCACAGAACCACTTGTTTACAGCAGATTTTAGAGACACAAAAAAGGGACTAGAAATTTGGTGTTTTACTAAGAGTTCCTTGGTAACCAATTAATAGCATGTCTGCATTCTGTGGTATCCTTATCTAAGAATGCTACTGAATAGATTGTGGAATTATACTCACAAGACACAGGAGGCTAATGTGGAACGACTTCCAAGGGTCAACATTAATTTTGTACAGTCTGCTTCCATTGTCTAGCCCTCCCAGCATGGTTTAAAATGGAATTTAAATGTCTTTCATGCTATCCCTGTGTCTCTTTGTTTCTGTGCATGTATCTCATACACACCAATTCACCCACCCGGAGCAACAAAAAGATAGAAAGGACCATTTCCCTTTTCCCTTCATGCCCTATAGCCCCAAAGTAGACTCTCACAGGTACAGATATGTTACCCCTCAGGCCTACCCAGTGACTACATGTGAATAACGCACTTTGAGCACTGGCTCAGCTCTGCTGGCCCTCCCTTCCCAACTGTGGAAGATCCAATGGAGACCTGTTGAGCTTGGGAACTTCACCATGACAAGATTTATGTGATTCATGACAGATGCAATTTAAAGCACAGTAACTATAGTGTCGCCAGAAACTTGCTCTTTGTGTGCACGTGTGTGTAGCATGACCTCCTCTTACCTCTGTCCCTCAGAGTTTCTCATGGTCATGGTCATTCCACCTCCACTCCCCACACTGTGCCATCAGAAAGAAAGTTGGCTTGGTTCCTCCTAAGGCCCAAGGAAGAGGTGCGATGAGGGTGTCTCACTACATTTGATTCAACTTGACTTTCTTAGGGAGGCAAGTTTAGTAAATTAGAATATTCTTCTAGTTGGTTTTTTTTGAGCAGTACAGAGTTATCTGTGCAATCACAAGCACCTTTAGGATCTAAATCATAAACACATATTAGTATGGTAGTATGGCCATTGTGTTTTTCCAGAGGGAGAAAAACTATCTCAGAAGAAAATTCTTTTTTATGCACAGGCTGAACTCTGCTTCATCTAAGTTATTCCAATTTCCAACATTAGACCAATATAAACTGAACTATAAGAAACAGTCATGTATAAAGGCATTCACCACTAATGTATTCATTTGTGAAAAAAAAATGGTATACTAAGCTCAGGCTACATGCCAGAAAAAGATTCAGATTTTGTAATAATCTGTCATGGGCAATACACAATTCTATAGACAGTCACCAAATCTTGTTTCTTAGACCATATCTTCTACAGCAGTGGTTCTCAGCTGGAGTTAATTTTGTCAATCACAACAATACAGACATTTTTGGTCAACATAACTGGAGTGGAGGACGGGGCTGTGCTAATGGAATCTAGTGGGTAGAGGTCAGGGATGTTGCTAAACATCCTTCAACGCAGAAAGCAGTGTTTAACAAAAAGAATTATCCAGACCAAAATGTAAACAGTGTTGAGGCGGAGGAACCCTGCTGTATACTGACAGATAAGAATCTAAAGAATGGAAAGTCAGCGTGATGTTTGGGAGTCTAGTAGCTTAAGTGAAGCCAAACTAATATCTTCTGTGGTTGTGAGTCTTGGATGCATCACTAAGAACTTCAACATTTCAAACTGTGCTCAATAAAATGACTCTGCAGGATCAACAGTTGGGTATTATTCCTATGTCAGTCTACAAGTTACAGAATTAGGAACGCTATACCACTGCTCTGCCAGTGAGACAAATGTTTTGGTTGCACTACCAGGAAGAAATCATGAAAAGTTCACCCAATCATAAAACACCAAGTGACACCTGTGTTAAGAATGTTAGAGGCCGGGCGTGGTGGCTAACGCCTGTAATCCCAGCACTTTAGAAGGCCGAGGTGGGTGGATCACCTGAGGTCAGGAGTTCAAGACCAGCCTCTGGTGACTGGTAGAGAGGGCAAAACCCCGTCTCTACTAAAAATACAAAAAATTAGCCAGGCGTCATGGCGGGTGCCTGTAATCCCAGCTACTCGGGAGCCTGTGGCAAGCAAATCACTTGAACCCCAGAGGTGGAGGCTGCAGTGAGCCGAGATCACACCATTGCACGCCAGCTGGGCAAAGACAGCCAAACTCCATCTTTTTAAAAAAAAAAAAAAAAAAAGTTAGAACACTTGCAGATAGAAAACTCAGGGTTTTTGAGGCAAGATGTATTAGGTGGTCTGTGGGGATTAATGCCAATTGAGCAGCAAGCATATCTGCAAATCCAGAGACTGTCCTCCTGATCATGGAGCAGGAAAGGAGGATGTCAGAGAGAGATAGATCAGATCTTGGGCAGAGGAGATGGACCTGCCTGGCTCCAGTCCCAGCTTTGATCCTAGCTGTGTGATTCTAGGCAAGTTTCAAATGTTCTTTGTGAAATTAGGAGCTAGCCTGTACTCTGTGGGATTCCCAGTAGCTCCATCATTCTCACTCAAAGTTTTCCTCACCACTTGTGCTGGTACACAAAGAATAGAACAACTCTGTAACAGGATGCTAGTGCGGTGTATTTATTAATTTGCAATAGTGTATGGTAAAGGAAATAACAAAAGAAACATGCAGATTTGCATAAATGGGAAATCCTTTGATTTGATAATCATTCATTCAACAAACATCTACTGAGCATCTCCTCTGAATAAAGTATTAAATGTTTTCTATTTTTCTTTTTTAAAATTTGTTTTAAATGATCCTAAGAAACTCTTTAAAAGTTTATCTCCTAGGATCTATAGCAGTTAACATTCAGTTCCACCAATAAAATTCCTCACTGGATTCCACACAGGACAGATGGGTCTCCATTAGCTAATAACCTTCCAGGTGGTGCTGACACAGCACATATGTGAATATTCCTCTCTGTGGGAAATAGAGATGTAACTTCTATACTTGCCTCAACCTGCTACTACGACTTTCTTCACAGTCCTGGGTTTTCAAAGATCTAAAGTTAACTCCTCTCTTAGAGAATATATGCAAACAAGTGAACTTAAAACTTCAATGCAATGCTCTTATCTCATAGCTCTGGATCTTGTCTTTGTAACTGATGCCTCCTGAGCTGACTGCTGGCCTCAGTGTGCTCCTGCTTGAGAGCTGTCTGCCAGGGGAGGAGAATGCCCAGCTTCACAGTTACATCTTCAAAAAGGCCACCTAGAGAAGGAAGAAAAACCCACAGTGCTTTACTTCTATAATATGACAAAATGGCTGCAGGTACATCAAATCAGAATCAGGTAAGTCTGGTCAATAAGAACATACACTTATTTAAACAGAAAAATGACTCTTAGTGGATCTAGACATTGTATTTAACAGCAGGAGCCAATTAGTCTTTTTTTAATGAACCATATGATAATTAAGATGATTCACATGCATTTTAAAGGAGAAAAAGAGTTAATTGAAACTAAAGTTATATTGCCATGAAGTAATCCAGTCCTCGTTCCCATTGGTTCACAACTATTGTTTTGGACCTTCCATATTTAGAATTCTGAGTCTCATTCCTGGGCGATTCCCGGTCCTCATCCCTATAGGTAATAATACCAGTTTCTCCTAGGTCATGGTGATACTTTCACTTATATTGGTTGGTCAGCAGCAATTCATCTTAAAACCTAGAGTTAAAAAAACTAATTCACACAGTCTTATGTACAAAATATTTTCAGACTATGTAATGAGGCCTAGATCAAATGTATCTAATTTCCCAATAGTTTTGAAAACAGAAACAAACATAACGAAGTCAATCATAAATGTTTAGAAACGTTTAGTTCAGGGGTGACAATACATTGGGAACTGTGCCAGCATGAGGAAGAGAGTCAAGTATAGAGCAGAGATAGATCGTGAAGTATGGGAGGCTTGGGAAGCTCGTATTAGGTGTGAGCAAGAGAAGTAAAAGCATTCTACTCTTGGGGAAGTATGGGACATCTGTCAATAGCATGTCCTTAAGTCCCCGAATGCAGTAAAAAGGGGTGTGTATTTAACTATCTCTGTTGAAAGAAAAGGAAAAGGGAGGGTCACACAGGGCAGAACGCATCTGCTTTATGCTGAGTACTTCAGAAGGATGTTACCCTTCGTACGGTGCTGGTGAGAAAGGCACCTGCTGAGTTTCCGTATCAACTTCCTGCTGAGTTTCTCTATCAAGAGAACATCAAATTGGAAGGAGCAGCAAAGAGGAAAGGTTGATTCCTAAACAAAATGTAAACATGGACAACTGATGCAAGCCTCAAGAGCTTACTGTGAAGCTCAAATGAGATCACTGTTAGTTCAAGCTGCACCATTTGGTAAGCCCCACCCTGCCACCATTTCACTGACCCTGGTCAAAGTAAAACATTCCATGGGGGTTCAGACCATGAGAAACATCCTGCCCAACCACCTGACTTTCTTATCATACCCTGCCGGGCAACGGCCCAACGGAAGGAACATCCCTATCATATCTTGCTGGACAAAGGCCCAAGGAACATCTATGACATCCCACTGGAAAAAGGGCCAAACCGCCTGATCATAGGAACATCTTATCAATATCCTGCTGGGCAGCAAGCCATACTGCCCAGACCCCTCCTGCCCATACCTATAAATACCCCAGCCTGTAAGCAGAGGTGAGCTCTAGCTGACATTCAGCTGGTCCCCCACCTCTGCAGGTCTGTGCTGGACATAAAACCTGCATTGCTGTAGAGCCACCAACTCTCTCTGTCTTTAACACTCACCTTCCCTTCAAAACCTAATAATAATGATTAGGAAAATCCATGTGTTTCCCTTGTCTCTCAGTTGACAAGAGATATTAGAAGTCTGTGAATATAACAGATGAGAAAAGAGGCCAGAAGAGCCTGTGATAATAAACAGGGGAAGGAAGACCAGATGTCACTGAGTTTGACTTAGGGGTCACTGTGGGCAGCATCCCTGGCAGGCAACATTCTGCTTCTACATAGTTTACAGGGACAGGAAGCTCACAACTGTACAAAGAAGACAATGCCGCTGCTTATATTCAGACAGAAAGACAATGGAAGAAACCATTTATCTTTAATTCTGAAAATTGCTATGTCAGGGAGTATTCCAACCAGGAAATACTTAGCATAAGGATAACACTGATAAATGACATTACGAAAATGGTTAAGAGTCCGGGCACAGTGGCTCCAGTGGCCTGTAATCCCAGCACTTTGGGAGGCCAAGGTAGGCAGACGGCTTCAGGTTAGGAGTTTGAGAACAGCCTGCCAATATGGTAAAACCCTGTCTCTATTAAAAATACAAAAATTAGCCAGGCATGGTGGCAGGTAACTGTAATCCCTGCTACTCGGGAGGCTGAGGCATGAGAGTCACTTGAACCCATGTGGCAGGGGTTGCAGTGAGCTGAGATCACACTACCGCACTCTAGCCTGGCTGACAGAGGGAAAGTCCGTCTCAAAAAAGAAGAAAAAAAAGAAAATGGTTAAGAATTTTAGCTATACAGAATAGTGATTTTCAACTTGAGGTGATTTTGTGTACTGAGGGGTGTTTGGCAGTATCTGGAGACATTTTCGGTTGTCAATATAACTGGGAGCGGGTGCTACTAGCATCCAGTGGACAGAGGTCAGGGACATTCTCCTACAATGTAGAGAGCCCCCATAACAAAGAATTATCAGCCAGCCCCATTCAGCCTTTCCTCATCCACAAAATGGGAATTCTAACAGGATGTACATGAAATGTGTAAAACACCTTATTAAGCCTACTTTGATATTTTTCATTCGCAGCACAGTCCTATGGTTTAGTAAAGCAGGCATTTGAAACTTTGTTTTACCTATGAAGAAACAGAAGCTCAGAAAACGTATGAAACTTGCTTAGGTAGCAAAGCTGTTAAGTGACATGGTGGGCTTAGAAAGAAATTGATTTCTAATCCGTGCTTTTCCCACTATAACTTTACAGATGAATGACAGAAAACTACAGGGCTTAAAGACTTCCAATCTTTGGTATTGCCTCAACTATGAAAAGGTTTCTTTTGCATGCCTGTGAATGTGAACTCAAGATGAGGAACAACTACAAAAGAGGCTGAGCTGATTAAATTAAATAACACAAAATGGACCCTCCCAGTAAAAAAGAAAAAGTTTAAAATTTGGCTTAATGTCTTTTTTTATCTAGTTTTTATAGTTTCATTTGCTGAGCACATTATGTATTTTTAAAGACTTAACATGAAACTGCAGCCATTCTTGGGAACAGGTACTGTACAATGCATTTTATTCCTTACATTTAAAACACTGTGAGTTAACATATTTCAAATGCTGATTTTGTGTTCCCTACCATTTATCCATGACAGGAGAAATTACTTCCCCTAACTGCCATTTATTTTAAGAGAGGATAATTTTATTTTGTTCCACTACACTGAGAAAGATCTCTATATTTCATCTTTTTAGTTTTATTCCCCAAAGTAAAGTTTTAAAGCTTCTCAGTGCATATGGCTATAGCTGCAGCTTAAAGCTCTGTTGGTTGTTACATTTTTGGAACACAGTTACAAAGTCTAAAGAATTATTTTAAAAAACAAAAGACAACCCTTTCCTGTTGGTTATAAGATTTGACTTAGTTCTGTATACCTGAATAGTTATACTTGGAAATGGAGAGAGGGAGAGGATGTTAAGATGTCTAACGATGATGTCTCTGCTTTGAGTAATCATCTAAAAACAATCTTCTTAAACCACAATAAACATGGCCAGGTTGATGTATTGAGAGGTGACAACCTGCTAGCAGCCCTCGCTCTCGGCGCCTCCTCGGCCTCGGCATCCACTCGGCGGCACTTGAGGAGCCCTTCAGCGAGACCAAGAACCCACCAATTCTGGACACAGTATCATTGACCAAATGTAAGTTTGGGATGCATTAATACCTTTGTGTGACACGTTAAACATTTTTTAATGTTATTTTACCCTAGATAAATTTATATTAACTGATTTCTCAACATTGATTTAGAATTTCTTATCCTCTTTCTGTTTTTTTTTTTTTTCTTTTTTCTTTCTTTTTTTTTTGAGAGGGAGTCTTGCTCTGTTGCCCAGGCTGGAGGGCAGTGGCCCCATCTTGGCTCACAGCAACCTCCGCCTCCTGGGTTCAAGCAATTCTCCTGCCTCAGCCTTCTGAGTAGCTGGGATTATAGGCACTCGCCACCACGCCGGATAATTTTTGTATTTTTAGTAGAGATGGGGTTTCACCATGTTGGTCAGGCTGGTCTTGAACTCCTGACCTCGTGATCCACCCGCCTCAGCCTCCCAAAGCACTGGGATTACAGGCATGAGCCACTCTGCCTGGCCTTAGAATTTCAATCACTAAAAAAATATATCATCAAGGCTGGCTACATAGAAAGGCTTTAGAAAGGACTCTAAGTAGACAGACAAAAATGTTCCTTTTAAAAAGGACATTGTTGACTTAAAAAAAAACAAAACATAAAACTTCCCTTTAGATATATATTTTTGTCCAGTGCATGTTCAAAATCATGATCTGAAACAGGCTGTTTTTATGGTGGAAAAGGAAAAGGACAAGGACAGCTTATGCCCTTATATTATAAAATCCAGTTTCTTGGCCAGGCGCGGTGGCTAACACCTGTAATCCCAGCACTTTGGGAGGCTGAGGTGGGTGGATCACCTGAGGTCAGGAGTTCGAGACCAGCCTGGCCAACATGGCGAAACCCCCTCTCTACTAAAAACACAAAAATTAGCTGGGTACGGTGGTGGCTGCCTGTAATCCCAGTTACTTGGGAGCCTGAGGCAGGGGAATCGCTTGGACCCAGGAGGCAGAAGTTGCAGTGAGCTGAGATCCCACCACTGAACTCCACAGCCTAGGTGACAGAGTGAGACTCCATCTCAAAAATAAATAAACTAATTAATTAATTAAAATAAAATCTAGTTTCCAAGATCCAAATTTTCTATACAAAACATACAATATAAGTGTAAAAACAAAAATAAAATTAAAAACTACAACCTATTCTAGCATCTAGCAAATATACTTGATGTCTTAAAATAATACTGGGATTAGGTAGTTTTTACTAACTCACTAATTTGGCATTAATCGCACCCATGTTGACGATACCCTAGACTCAACTTTTTGTGTTGGATAAATACTGTAAGATATTCCTCTCAAAAGAAACTATAATCAGAGTGAACAGGCAACCTACAGAGTGGGAGAAAATTTTTGCAATCTATCCATCTGGCACA